ACCAAAAGCAACGCAAATTTACTTCCATGTTTGACGATTAATTGCAGATATGCCGCTACGTACAGGCATTGTTAAGCTTCCAAGGTATGTACATGTTTCTATAAAGACGCCCATATCAATGTACGTACATGCTAAAATGTATTAGCTTTCATTTAAAAAAGTGATTTTATTGCGATGAGTTGTTGCTGATTGGGGAAAATAATAGATGACAAAACACCGGAAACAGTGATCTTTTGCAATGGGTCACTTTTTAGCTAGGCAGCTTTGCTTGCACTATGCACAAGTATTGTTTGTCTTTGAAACGGCACGGCCCATCCAACCGTATTCTCCGCAGGACACCTTACTGACTTTAATACGTTTCTGCTTACCTAAATAATAGAATAGTATCTACTATCTACCACAGAAAACAGGACGTTACATGCATTATCTACGCAAGCGGAACTCATACTTAAGCGACAACCAAAGTGGAGCGTTTTACCAAACCCGTAATGTTTGCAAGGGTCTTGCAAAAGCTCATTCATGCGGCATGCTGGAATGCAACATTCCAGTGCTTTACATATTATTTTGTTTAATAGCCAAGAGACAAGGCATTTACAAAATACTTCATAGCGCATGATGAAATAATAATACACCTTTTTGCATTTGAAATCAACCATTCGCCATAACTGTTTGAGGAGCCATTTCGACAATCGGCATTGAGCACAACTATTCCGGCGTGGTGTGCTTCATTTCAGCCATTCAGCAAAACAGATTGAACACTGAAATGAGCGATCTGCAAAACAGTTTAACAGTTCGCCAGACTTCGGCATAGAGGGAGCCAGCTCGGCATATGATGAATACTTTCGACCATTGACGATTTGTTTTGCCTAATGTTGAACCATTCGTTCAATGTCGAGTTGTAGAGGAAGATCGCCGAATAGTTTTGCCCAATGGCGATTCTTTGTGACCAACCGCCCATTTGTACCGCCACCTATATGGCGAATGTGTACAAATGTTTTGCCCAATGGTCAAAAGCTAACGCAAAAAGGTGTAGTAACTATAGTCTGACAAAACTATAAATTTGGGTCACCGAAGCAATTGACATCCTCGTCCATTCCCTAGGTCAATTGGTCGCTGACTTTCAAATTAAAGCATGCCCTTTCTCGGTCAGGCTGAATGGATCCACCGTCACTTTGCGCGGTACTTTTAAGACAGACTGTACTACATAGACGAAGGGAGGGGTACCTAGTACCTACTGGAAGGAAGAAGAGTGTGAACCAGACGGACGTTACATTGGACGGGTGGGACATATATCAGATATCTGGGGAGGGCGTAACGGACGGGAAATGTTCACTGTACAATGTACGGCCCTCCAGCAAAAGAGTGGTTGGTTAGCCTATGTGCTTTTGGTGAAATAACTTTAAATGACAGAGACACTCCTGTAAAATGACTCAATAGAATTGAGAGGAGGGTTCGTGCACACATTTCGGCAGTGGTTTTCAACAGCCATTAGACGTATTCATCAATGCAGATCGAGTATTGTGATGTTGGCAACCAACCACTTAATACCTGGAGGGCCGTACACACATACGGTTGTACACTTCATCGGGCGGCCTGCCGTTCATATCAGTGTGTACTGGTGCTGTCCGTCGCAAAAACAAAACGCGATGTTTTATTCCAAACTGTACATTGAATAGCATCTAAACGTTATTACGGTCGAAATTGCTCAGTTAGAAAATGACGCGTAGTTAATTTGATTAAAAATCGTCCAAATTAGTTTCCTTAAACCTACATGCTTTAAATGATTTTTGTATTTTAAAGTTTGCACGATGTGCTTCAAATTTTGTCGTGCTATTTCAGCTACAGCATCCTTTTGCTGGCTCCCTCATGGCTCTACCATTGTGTGCTTTATTGTGTCTATAAATGCCGCACATTGAACCAGTTCACCGGGCTGGAGCCTCGACATTTCAATTTTCACCAGTGCAGGGGGAGGACCGGAAGCTCGCTCATTGCTGACGTGCGATCTCATCGTTTCCACAGAGTGACTGACCGTGCGACACCCGCCCGCGGCCCCGCCCGCCCGGCCGTCCCACATGCCCTCTGAACCGCGCCATACAGCGTGCCGGCGCCCCATTCGACACAGCGCATGAGGGTCTGTTTTCAGTGCAATGCGCCAGTGTGCATCCGACAGGCGCGCCTACCCGTCAGCGACTCAGCGTGCACCAGACAGGCTTTGCTGTTTCTTCGTTTTATTCCACGGGGGTCGGGGATGCATCAGCACTTCATTGTACGATAAACAAACACATAAGCGTAGGAACCATGGGTGCAAGGGTGCAGCTGCACCCACAATATTTCTCCAGTGGGTGCAGACAATGTATTCTGCACCCACAATAATCTGAACCAAAAACCCCTTTTCTCATCAACACTACTTTCCATGCAGCACGGCAAATTCAGGATATGTTGCCCACTATCCATCTTTCGAAGCATTTGCTTTTGTGATAGTCTTCAAAACTTACATTTGTGCTGAAGAAAAAAAAGGAAATGGAGCATGTGATTGAACACATACCGAGCCGATGACCCACTGTCAAAATTTTTAGCCCGATATCTTCGAAAATGGCTAAGTCGGCCGCTTTTACTTTTTGCGGTTATCAATATTGACAATTTTAACCCTCGCATGTGTGCGGCGTTTTCCAGCTTCTAATGTGTAGGGGGAGGGGGGGGGGGCTGATCGAGCTAGAGGTTCGCGGAAAAAACGAGGGTGTTGCCCGCGACGAGAGAAAGCCGATGATACCCAATTTTAAGGTCCTATGTCATTGGTTGACCTTCCAGGTCAGGTCAATGACCCAAAAGTCGGGAAAATCGGGACCTGCTAGAACTGCGTAAAGTGAAGCTGTATCGTTTTTTTCGGGGTGCTGATCACGAATTTCTTGTTAGTTTTGATCACAGATGATTTCTTCATGCATTTAGGCCAGATCGGGTCAAGTCAGGTCAACCATTAGGCGTCTTACCGGCTATCCATAGTAGGTGTCAACTACCACTGCCGGCGTCGTAGCATGTTACGAAGGCACCAGGGCATATTTTAAGGCACTTACTGCGTCCCATTCTGGGACGCAGCCCCCTCGCCTTGGGACGTAGCCCCTGCTGATTTGACCCACTGCGTCCCTGCCCTGTGCCCTGTCCGGTTCCCTAAACTGTGCCCTGCTGTGTGCCCTGACCTGTACCCTTCCCTCTAAAATGTCCTGTGCCATGCCCTGTAACCTGTCGTGCCCTACTTTCTGCCCTCCTCAGTGCCCTACTCTGTTCCTTGCCCTGTGCCCTTAGTCGTAGCACGTGCCCTCTGCTCAACTTTGGGACGCAGTAAAAATTTGTTAAAATATGCCCTGGAAGGCACTAAACTACTTCGTTAACGTTCAAATGGATGCTAAATTCGAAATCAGCCCGAAAAAAACTACCCTAGAAACATGTAATACTCGAAAAAGTGAACCGAGGTCATCAAAGGTCAGTGACCTGACCTGACCTTCAGGTGACCTTCACACCCACCGTGATGCATGGGAGGAACATCATTTCACATGTTTGGACGTCTACAATCACAAAAAGACTGGAAACGCGCGGATAATGTGAGCTGACATAGGCCAAATCGCGATTCCGGCCGAACATGGTCTCGAGAATCAGGTCACAAGTCAAAGGTCTTTTGGGTCAGGGTCATGAAATTTTCAGAGTAGGTGTAAAACTAATCAAATCGAGGTTGCTTAAATTTTCGTCGCGATCGGCCGCTTTTTGCGCGAGTTATTTGCGAAAAACCATGGGGGCTCATCCTAGCCACCCACACATGCGAGGGAATTAATGCTTCCAAATGCACTTATCGGTCGGTACCTTTTCGACATGGTATACACTAGAGGTGGTAAAAGATGAAAATTTTGGGAACTAGACTCGAACCAGACCCGCGGCTGGACATTTCTGGAACCAGTCGGAACCAGTCTTAGTTGGAAACGGAACCAGTTGGACCCGTTTCCCAAAAGTCAATTAATACAAACTACTTGTAGGAATCATAGTTGCATCATGCAGAACAGCCTATTTCCCACTGGGAATACTCATGAGCTACTGTGTGCAAAGAAACATTCACTTCATATTTTGTAATAATGTGTAGTGTGCAAGATGTATAGTTTATGGTAGGACCCGGTTGGGCCCGTCAGAAAATTTCCAGGAACCGGTCTGGACCCGGGCCCAGACTGGTTCTTTGGACCGGGTCCTCGGGTCCACATTTTGCCACCACACCCCTTCAAAGCTCGTAACGAGCCTTCGCTCGGGTGTCGCTCCCTACCCCCCCCCCCCCCGCTTCACCGGCCATGGCTGGATTTCGGCACCCATGCACCCACAATGTTCCAGCCGTTCCTACGCCCATGAACAAACAGAAAAAACAACGCTCGAAATCGAAAACAATATGTATAAAAAAATGCAACACAATTCTTTGCTTTGCTGGGAGCAAACTATTTCGGCCTGAAAAGGCATTGCGGAGCTATGGGATAATTGGATGCATGGATTGGTTGTCGACATTCAGCTCGTTTCCATGGATCCGGAGGCCGGAGCAAGTGGATAAGGTAATCCAGTGTAATCAGACGCTATATGAAAATTAAAGATAATGGATGAAAACCTGCGGCTGATATAGAGGATTTCGGACAAAATTATACGCTTTAAATTTCGCAATCTGGACAACGAGTGCCTGAATGGAAGCGTGGTCATTGGACTGTGCGGATGTCAAACAGTGCACTGCAGCGCAGCGGCACAGAGACCGTCACCGGCGGAACGGAAATATCCCCGGCCTGAAAAGAGCGTAGAGTAACGAAAACCTTTAACCTATAGTAACTGTAACTGCCCTCACCACCCACCGGGCTGCCTGGCTGTCTGGTCCTAAAAGGGAAGTGGGATAGGGGATGCGGATGGGTTTGTCATGAGGATGGTGAAGACGGATGTAGCAACAAACATCAAAGACACCACATGACAATGCACAGAGCGTCACGTACCAGTTCCGGTGTTGACCTGCGGTCAGCACTCAGCGCTGACCAGTCAGCGGTGACCCAGGTCTCGCCTGCTGACGGCGCCGACACCTCCTGGCCGGCCGTCCGCCCCCCGGTGCCGACCACACTCAGTGCAGCCCACCGACTGGCTCCAGGCGCACTGAAAAAAGTTTTTACCATCAATTTACTAAGTTACTAGCTTTGGTAAATTTTACCATCAGCCTACCATCATATTACTACCAGCCTACTATGGTGCTGAATACTATCCTGCCTTGACATGTTGATATTACCATGGTTACGTTTATCAGGGGTGGTTTTGTACCCCAGTTTACAAGGTGGTAACCACCTGAGGCTAGTAGATACCCTCGTAAGCTAATATTCCCTACCATAGTAAAATCAACCTTTCCACGGGCGGATCCAGCAGGTGAATTCGGCGATCAAGTCTCCTCCTTTCCATAGAGGTGTTTGCCAATTTTTGATATGTTGGAAGGAGCGTCATCCAAGGACTAGCTGAGACCCTGAGCAATTAATAGTTTTATGGACGAAAGGCCAGAAATTTCTTGCAACAGTTCCCTGGGTGTGCTTCTGCTGCTATGGTAAGGTATACCATGGCAACACCATGACAACACTACACCCTTACTAACAATCCACGTGCGTCTGACTCTGCTGCAGCGGCGCCGCCATGTCAGTTCCGGCCGCGCGCCGGCGTTGTGAAGGTGCTCCGTGGTTTTAAATATTTGAACGGTGATTGTGTGGGTGGTTAGCGTAGCTGACGGTGGAGGATACTCGGAAATAACAAGTAAGTCGTTGTATCTTCAGCATAATAATACTTATCTCACGAGTGCCATTTCCAGCAAAGATCGCAGCCTTTGTTTCGGTTCATGTTGTTGAATTTCCTTGAGACCCTGTTGGACCGGGTAGGGGGAGGGTGGTGGGGTGGGTATCATTGCGGGCATTTCCCAGCGTCGGAAATCAACGTGTTTTTTTATTTGTTAACCCACGCCTCACTGGGGTATGTGCTCTAACGCGCCCCACAGCACGTTACAGCACGTTACAGTGGGGGGGGGGGGGGGGGGGGGCTCCTAACTCCGAAACTACTGGGCCGATTGTCAAAATTCAAACGGCCCCTGGTAGCCCTGGAAATATTGTTGAGCGAAGCCTAATGTCATTGACCTCGAGGTCATCGATGACGTCACAGGTCAGGTCAAAGTAAAAATATCAGCGTCTTGGCACTCTGGGCGCCGGCCAACAAATCAGATCAGGCTCATTTTTTGTTTGCACACTCGTGAATATATGCGTAACATAACCTGAGGGTACCGAACTTGTACTTCGAATTTTTCAGGTCAAGGCCATCTCATCCCAGGTCACGAAAGCTTTATATCGTGCATCGGTGACGTGAGACATGTTTTATGGTTCATGTAGGCCATATATATCGAAATCAGTGTTGTATGTGTCAGTTTAGGCCATTTTAGCTGAATATAGCTGAGGTCAGGTCAGGTCACTTTAGGTCAAAAATGGTCAAATTTTGAAGTTGACATTTTTCAACAAAAAAGGTGTTTGTCAGATGAAGTTCACATATATTCAACGCATATGTGTTCAAACACATATAGACCCCGTTTCCATGGGCATCACTGATCCGGATCAGCAAACTTAAATCGTATTATATTTCTCGAACTCTTCGTTACATGATATAATTCCAAGTGGATTAGGCTTATATAATCAGTTAATCCCTTATTTTCATTTTCATATATTGTCTAACTATACTGGATTAGCTAATCCATTTTTACTGATCCGGATCAGTGATGCCCATGGAAACGTGGTCATATTCTGCTTTTTTTCATTCAGAAACGTATATGTAAAAAAATAAAAAATACAATTTCTGAGTTTTTATATTTATAATTTTCAAAATATTCAACATTTCGAAAGTCCGAAATCAGTTTGGTAGCCCTGTAGAGTCCACCCATGCAAAAAAAAGGATCTAGCTTAACCCTCAAGGCGGTGGGGGGGGGGGGGGCATTTTTTGCATCCATCTTTAGTTTTTTTTTCGATATATCTCCAGAACCGCTGCGCCGATCTTCACCAAACTTTCAGTACCCTTTTGCACATTGTGACCAAATTTTTTTTTTCCAAAGGCTATGATAAGTTGGCCGCTACGTCGGAGTGACGTCATTTCTGCCATTGTCGACCAAAAAAAAAGCTTCGCGGGAAGAGCTGTCAGGTCTATAAATTTGATTATGCATAAAAATGTTCAAGACATGAAATGTGTAGAATTACCAGGGCTACTATACTGTTCTCTCGATTTTGTTTTTGAAGTTGACCCCAAAAATAAAAAGAAATAGATATAATAGCCAAAAAATCCCAAAAGTTTTTCGATTTTCGAAACAAACGGAATATATGTAATAGCCACTATGGACTTCTATTCACATTCCAAGTATTAGATCGATAACTCCTTTTTGCCAAGTTATAACAAAAAAAAACTGTTCAAAATTAATGACGTCAAATTTTCAAACTCGATTTTGGCAATTCTAGACCACAAAGCGCAAAACAAAGACCACCATTAGACTCGCCGTGACGAGTGGCATCGAATCAATACCAATTTTATGCGAAACTATCAACTTTGACCTGAAATTTGACCTTTTTGACCTGACATTGACCTGACCTCCACCAGAAAGTGACCAAAAAAACCGTCCCTGATGGTCTTATAACCAACACCATTGAGGCGAATATGAAAAATTGGCCATAAAACATGCATCGCACAACCCTACTTAGTAAAGATAGGTTCATGTGCTGACCCTTGGTGATCGGACCTGGTATTATCAGTGACCTCCAATAGCAACATATGCTCGTATAATAGGCAACTCACGCCCTATCGCTGATTTTTGACAAAATGCCCTTTACTCGATGTTGCAGCGCATTCCTTAAAAGACCCGTGAACGGTGAAACATTTTATCTTTGACTTGGCCTGTGATGTCATCGGTGACCCCGAGGTCAATGAAATTGAAGTTCCCTCGACAAATTTAACAAGGCTATCGAACGCCATTTAAATTTTACCGATCCGTCATAGTAGCTTCGGAGATTCGGGGGGGGGGGTCAAAAATCCCCCCCCCCCTCCCACCGCGCGGAAGGTAGCCGGGAGGCCCACCGCTTGCCGGGTTAAAACTCAGATCTTGAGAGCGATTACCGTTGTTCAATGCTTTGCATCAAAATCGGCCGAACATGATGTCACTCTGGCGTCATTTCCGGCCGATCTATAGTAGCTACGAAAATTTTATTAGTGCACAAGGTGTCAAATAAATTGATGCAGCCGAAGGTCCTAAAAGCTTTGTTTTGATACGTCCAGCGGTTTTAAAGATATTGCGTAAACACGAGAGGGGCTATGAATAGCCCTCCCCACAGTAGGGTGGGGGTTAACCCTCGCCCGTATTGGTGTTTTTCAGCCACGAACGTTTAAGGGGGGGTCCGTTGAACCCCCTCCTTGCCGTTTCGCCCCTGATTGAGCTAGAGCTTCGCGGAAAAAACGAGCGTGCTGCCCGTGACGAGAGAAAGCCGATGGTACCCAATTTTATCCTAGGTCGTCGGTCCTAGGTCATCGGTTGACCTTCCAGGTCAGGTCAATGACCCAAAAGTGGGGAAAACTGGGACCTGTTAGAACGTCGTAAAACGTGGCTGCTATTGGGTTTTTTAGGGAACTGATCACGAATATCATGTTAGCTATGATCATAGATGATGTCTTCATGCATTTAGGCCAGGTCGGGTCAGGTCAGGTCAGGTCAACCAGTAAGGGTTTTGCCGGGTATTCGTAGTAGGTGCACTAGGTGGCAACCGCCTCTGACAGCTTCGTAACATGTTACGAAGGCACCAAAACTACTTCGTAAATGTTCATATATGGTTGTTAAATTCGAAATCAGCTAAAAAAACTAGCCTAGAAAGATGCTGATAAAACTCGAAAAAGTAAACCGAGGTCATCAAAGGTCAATGAACTGACCTGACCTTCTGGTGACCTTGACATCCACCCTAATGCATGGGAGCAGCATCATATCCCATGTTTGAACGCTTGAAACCACGAAAGGACTGCAAACGCGCGGCAAATGCGAGCCGACATACGCCGAATCGCGATTCCGGCCAAACATGGTCTCGAAAAGTAGGTCACAGGTCAAAGGTCATTAGTCAGGGCCATTACATTTTTTAGGGTAGGTGTAAAATTGATTATAACTCGAGGGTACTGAAAGCTTCGTTGCGGTCGGCCGCTTTTTACGCGAGGTATTCGCGAAAAACCGAGGGGGAGTCCGTTCGACCCCCCCCCCCTATACGGGGGAGGGTTAACAAGCCAAAACGTTGCTAATTTTTATTTTGATCTGACCTGTGACGTCAACGGTGATCTCGAGGTCAATAAAATTAGGTTTTGCTCGACAGTTTTTCCAGGGCTATCAGACGCCGTTTCAGTTTTGACAATCGGCCCAGTAGTTTCGGAGTTGGAGCGGGGGGGGGGGGGGGGTTCTATAAATAGCCCCCGCCTCCCCCAGTGGAGTGCGTTACAGAACATACCCCAGTGGGGCGCTGGTTAAGAGTAGAATTTTTGAATTATTGCCAACACTCAACACTGCACCTCATGGCAATTAATTCATTATAGGGCATTTTACCTGAACCAGCCTCTGGCCTAATGTCCCAAATTTGCTAAATTCCTCACCCTACAAATCCCCTGTTCTATTAGATGCTGCCATTTTTTTAAAATAACTTATCTTAAATCCTTGTTTCATCAAACTGGGAGCTAGGTCACGGGACACTGCGAGTCAAGGTGGGAGGGGTAGGAGATAGAGTGTCACTGCAGCACACACAATCAATCTTTCCATTGGTTTATCTTATATCAATGCCTGCTCTTTTCCAGAGCTGGCTTTCGAAGTTCGAACCTTCGGTATATGGCTACCAATGCCCTTGGAGAAGGTGTTGCGTGATAAATCGCTGGAAGGGCGACATTCAACGATTGTGTGAAAAGAGACCGATTGCATTGTGATGATAAAGTGAACTGTAATAATTGTTGTTCATGCGCGTTGTTTGGTTATGTGCAGACGTAACTTTGTTTGTGGCCAAATGCTTTTTATGTGTGAAATATTTCATGTAGGTT